TGATTTAGATATTTTAGAGCAGACTAAACGAATTTTTACATAAGTTAAACTACTTTTGTTATATCCATATGGCCAACCATTCACACTTTGGGCATAATTATTTCATTGATAAAAATTTTCATTTTTTTCTTAAGTAGGAGTCGTCAAGTTCAGAATTCTGCCTCACACTTTTTATACTTGAATTATATTACGCTTGAATTATTTTGTTCTTCAATTATTTTTCTCTTCTTGGGTTATTTTAGCAATGGACCCCTTAAATAAGTGGATATCCTAAAACATTTACCCACAGGTAAAATGTATTTGCATAATATGAGATGGTTAAATACATACACACCCATTACACAATAGAAAAATGTCCCCAAACTGAATAAATTCTTAATATCTACTATTTCAAAATGCTTTACATAATTTTAGTCTTTTTCAGAACATGCTAATAGATACCCTAACAAATAACGGTTAATGGCTATTGAACCAGATAAGTATGACAAACAAAACTGGATCTGCCTAACACAGGATACTGGGCCAAATTATATCATAAATCCACACATGAGACTTTCTGTGAGGCATCCTCTTTGCAGTTAAGAGCGTAATTTAGATCTCAGTGGTTATGCTTGTGTACAGCCTGAGGGGTGAAAATAGAAGGGGTTTGGAATAATTCAGAGTTCCACCATTGTTCTTTGTTATGTTTTGTTAGACTTTGTAAATAGTTTAAATTAGATTTCAAGAAGAAAGACCACACAGAAAAACAATCTTGCATCTGATTCAAACTTTACAAGTCAGTTTCTCCATCTCTTGTGATCATGCATTCACATTTAAGACAAGGAAAGTAGCTATTCAAATTTCCATGCACTCACCACCCAATGAGGAATGCCATGCTAATTAGATTACAGTTTCTAGATTCAGAGTGACTGCTGCCTCCTGGTGCCTTGAATTAACACTGACAGTTTGAGTTATCATTTTATGCCTATGAACCAAAAATATTGCTTCTCTTATAAAGGAGAGTGATATTAATTTAAATCCCCATTAAATTGTTGGTGATTTTTGTGTATTAGTAATTGTGTTGATGGATGATGCAGGATTATCAATCATAGTAAATAATAATTAAAGCTTATTCCTTTGTATTATGCCACTGTCCCTCCCCACCAGATTTATAAATGTTTTTATCTGAGTTTTTCTTGCATCAAAACATTCTCTTTCTTTTAACTTGATTTATTTATGATAGTCAATGTAACTGAGTTCCCAAGACCCTTAAAACACTGTGTTGTGTCTTCCATCTCTTCCTTTGTGCTGCCCTCTTCTGGAAGAGGTTGGAATGGCAGCAGTATACATACAGGAATTTTCTCACCTTTTTTTTTTTTACCCCCC